TGAAAGTAGCAACATGGCATATCCAAGTCTCTGTGAAATATTAATTAAAACATGTAATAAGCAACCCAGGTGTCCTCAAAAAAGACTGTGTACATGTTAGCAGTTTATAAATTCTCATGTTTTCCTTTTAGAAATGATCCGAGTCTCATGACATTGTAAAATTATCCAACATTTTACATCAAGCAAAACTTACAATGCAGATTTAAGTTGCAGAACTTTGTTTTTTCTTCTTTTTTCCCCCTTTGATCATCTCTTGACCAATTTATCTTATTACCCTTTGGAAGGAACAAAGTCTCTGTGAAGCAGATAAAATCAGCTCCACCTTCACCAGATACAGCAATTACATGCTGTGTATACTCTAGGGACGTTAATGATTAACCCACAACTGAATAACTAAAGGATGTATTACCAGGTGAGGCAGAAGACGAGGGACATGCATACCAGAAAGTGTGCTGTGGATTAGCTGTAGTGCTTAGTTGTTCCACCAGGTGGGGCCTCTTACCGCTTAATATTGTAGCATCCCCAGTCTCTTGGGCTATGTACAGTTCAGCGTAAGGAAACTGGGATGATTTAGCTGCCAAAGGATTATTCATTATGTTGATAAAGTCGACTGTACATCATTCAGTTTGACAATTGATTGACAAAGCTGCCGACTCTTGGTGAATAAAATTGTTTAAAAATTGCATCCCTTGTAAACACTGATGCATTAAAGGTGATATATGCAACATTTTAAACATTAACATGGCATCAAACAACTATCTGCTGTGTAAAGACGTAGTGGGGTAATAGCGTTCCTAGCAGAAACTTAAATCACACTCCCCCTGTGTGTGGGTGTGTGTGTGTGTGTGTGTGTTGTAATCTGAGCTGTTCTGTTCTATGTTTTGGCACCTGGTCCATGTGTATGTGAGCTCCTCCCTTTGATACTGTTGGCGCTCCCTGGGCCTTTAAAGAGTGACCTCCCTTACTGCATTGTAAAACTGAAGTCCAGCATTCAACCAAAGATTTTAAGAAATGCAATGTTTCATTTATGGTATTTACTCAGTTTATATGCAGTAATTTCATTTTAGCTCAGTGTTAGAGTCTCTACTGTTGTTCTGAGGTTCTCCTTCTACGTCTCCTTCTGCTCTCCACTCATGTCTACACTTCAGAACAACCATTAGCAGGTGCAATCATATAAATACCTTGGGACCATAATCGATGAAAAATAACTGTAATAATCGTTCTTTTATTGAGTCTGTTTTATCTTTTTATTTGATTGTATTGTTAGGTCAGACCTCTGTTACAGAGAAAATCTCACTGACCCAAACAGTGACATGGTCAAGTCGCCTGACTGATAAGTCACAATCTTGCCCGGCCTCCCTGTTCACTAAACAGATACAGAGGATGGCTTTATCAATCCTTAATGACAACGCCCATCCTCTACAAGATGAATTTCAGATTCTTTCCTCTGGACAGAGGTTTTTAGTCCCAAGGTGCAGGACAAAGCGTTATAGAAACAGCTTTGTTCCTGTCGCCGTCACTGAGCTCAATAAGAACTAGAGACATTTCTACTGTACTTTATTCTACTTATTTTATTTCTTAGCTCTGTCTATCATTGTGACTTTTAAATTACATTTTCTGTTCTTATCCTGGTTTATATCCCAGAGATTGCTTTTATTTCCCTAAGGTTTTTATTGTTTTTAATTTGGATTTATCTTTTTCTTATTTATTCTATCTTATCTTTTTTACTTCCTTGCTGTTATATTGATGAATGGCAGAATGCTAAGCACTTTTTTGTCTCTTGTCTTTTTAAAAAAAATTTTGTCTCGTCACTCGATCAAGTACCTGCCTGTCAGGTTTAATATGTATTTTGTTAAGGACTGCCAAATGCTATCATTTATTTTCTGCAAAACAAATCTACCCACAGGTATTGATAAAGTAACCTTGAACCTTGTGCTTTGGTGACATCTGCTGGTCACACACCATCCTGCAACCAAAGCAGCTATTTTTTATTTTTTATTTTTTATACTTATTTGATTTTTTATTTGATGTGGACATCACAATTACATTGGACAAACCAGACGCATTGTTTGAGTGTTTTAAGCACATGTGATAATTCGCAACACTC